TTATTTTTTACCGCTTTTTATTTTTATTGGTTTTTAATTTTGTATTTCTCTTCAAGTTTTTAAATATTGGGGCCCCAATTAAAATAAAATGGCCACCCCCCCCCCCCCCCCCCCCCCCGGAATGGTAGATAATGGATTAGAGCTGGAGAGGCATGCGGGAGGCGCAGCAATTGGCAACGAAGCGTCTTACTACCCCCAGGCCAGAAACTCACCATTTTCGGCCGACTTTCATCGGCTTGAATGTATCGAAGGAATCGCGAAGCTAATGACTATAGCTGTAAGACTCTAGAGAGGGTAATTATGTCAGCAAAGCAACATCGTCTCAACTACATGATAAACTACTTATATCATGGCCGCCGCGGTTCGAGATGAGGTCGAATAGATTATTTTTCAAGCAAAACATAGAATTATTTGGGTACTTGGGTTAGATTCCGCCGCGTCTCCCTTCTTTTTTATTCAACTCTTATAGATCATCATCAGCTCGTAGTTCAACACACCACAAGCTCAACCAGCCATGTCTTCTAACTCGACTACAAACGGAACACCCGAAATGAAGAACGACGGCAGCGGTAATAATCCGGAGCCGATCGCCATCGTCGGCATGGGTGAGTAGTACTTGCAGCTTTGACGGGCTCCATTACTAAAAGTATTCTAGGTTGCCGATGGCCGGGAGACGTCCAAGACGCTTCGGGCTTGTGGGAGCTTTTGAAAAACAAGCAGACCGGCTACCGAGAATTTGGGGATCACCGCTTCCCCCTTAGCGGTTTTCACCATCCCAACCCAGATCGCCCAGGGAGCATCGCGACTCGCGGAGGTTTTCTGCTGGCGGAGGACCCCCGCCTATTTGACCCTGCCTTCTTCGGAATGACACCCCTAGAAGTAGAAACGAGTAAGCTACGCAGGAATTTAGAAAAAAAGGGGCCGAGCACCCTGAAAACTGCAAGAGAGTTGTTGCTAACTACACATATCTAGTGGATCCCTCGCAGAGAAAGCTCCTCGAAGTCGTATACGAAGCATTCGAAAATGCTGGAGAGCCGTGGGAGAGTTTCTCCGGATCGCGTACCGGCGTGTTTGTTGGCAACTTTAGCACTGACCACACCCTGATCGCGGGAAGGGACCCGGATCACCCCCGACCCTATGCGAGCACCGGAAGCTCCATCAGCATCCTCAGTAACCGCATTAATTATATCCTTAACCTGCTTGGCCCAAGGTAAGATTGCTTATCAACCCGTATGAGTGATTATTAGATGCTAAGCACGTATTTTTAGTGTTACTCTCGATACCGCATGCTCATCATCCATGTATGCGCTCCATCTCGCCGTTACGGCCATTAGGAGCGGTGATTGCGACTCCGCCATCGTGGCCGCTTCCAACTGCATCATGGACCCCAGCGCTCAGCTCATGATGACGAAGCTAGGTGTATTGTCACCTACTTCCACCTGTCACACCTTTGACGCCTCAGCAGACGGCTACGCTCGCGGTGAGGGTTTCGCCGCGCTTTACCTGAAAAAGGTATCCGACGCTGTCAAGGGCGATTTCCCCATTCGCGCCGTAGTCAGGGGTACCGCCATCAACGCCAACGGTCGTACGGGCGGTATCACGCATCCTAGCAATCTGGGCCAGGAAGCGGTTATCCGCCAGGCTTACCAAAATGCTGGAAATCTTCCTCTAGGCGATACAACATACTTCGAATGCCACGGTACCGGAACTCCTGTCGGAGATCCGATCGAAGTATCTACCATCAGCGACGTTTTCTCTTCCGAGAAGTCGGCAGACGACCCGCTGTATCTTGGTTCCATCAAAACTAACTTGGGCCACACTGAATCCGCAAGTGCCATCGCCGGAATCATGAAGGTTGTACTGGCGCTAGAACATGGAGTCATCCCCCCTAGCGTCGGGGTTAAGAACCTCAACCCCAAAATTGACCTAGAAAAGGCCAAGGCAGTCGTGCTGCGGGAAATGACGCCCTGGCCTGCCGGCAAGATTCGCCGCGCCAGTATCAACTCTTTTGGATACGGTGGTGCTAACGGCCACTGCATCATCGACCACGTTAACAATGTCATTCCCAACTACGTTAAGCCCGGCGTTTACGCGGCACCTCAGAAGCCTCTGGCCGACGTGGTCGAGATTGATGGTCCCATCGACAGCGAAATAGTGCCACCGCACTATCCCCTCGCAAAGGAAGTCAAATCGGTGCGAAAGGCCGACGCCGTCACTCGCGACTTGGTTGTCCTCCCATTCTCTGCTCACAATGAGGCTTCTCTCAAATTGAACATCGCTGCCTTGGCCGATAATATTGGTGCTCACAACCTCGCGGATGACGCATACACCCTCTCAACGAAGCGCACTAAGCTGATGCAGAGGACCTTTAGTATCGTCAACAGAGAAGACCCGGAGCAGTCTCTTAAAGAGAGCCTTGGCAAACTTGCAGTTATCTCAAGTTCCGCAAAGACTGCAAAGCTCGGCTTCATATTTACCGGCCAAGGTGCCCAATGGCCTGCGATGGGACGTGAGCTGCGCCAGTATGCAGTATTCAGGAAATCAATCGAGTACATGGACTACGTCCTCAGTGCGCTCCCGGGAAAGCCCTCGTGGAAGATCGAGGACATCCTTACAGGCGACTGCGAGCCGGACCGCATTCACCACCCCGAAGTCTCCCAAACCGTCTGCACCGCGGTGCAGGTCGCATTGCTTGACCTTCTTTCCTCCTGGAACGTGCGTCCTTCGGGAGTCGCCGGCCACTCTTCGGGTGAGATGGCTGCTACTTACGCTGCTGGCCGCATCACGGCTGCAGAGGCTATCGCCGCCGCATACTTCCGAGGCCAGGCCGTATCTAAGAACAAGCAACAAGGTGCTATGCTTGCTGTCGGCTTAGGGCAAGAAGAGGCGCAAGAGTACCTGATTGGTTTAGAGGAGAAGATCAAGATTGCCGCCGTCAACTCCCCCAACAGTGTCACGCTCAGCGGTGACATCGACGCCGTACAAGACCTAGCTAAAATTCTCGACCAGGATAGGAAATTCAACCGTCTGCTCCAGACTGGCGGAAATGCTTATCACTCGCACCACATGCGAGCTCTGGGCGAAGATTACGAGAGCCTCCTTTCCAAGGGTCTCGCTCGCGTGGCTGACCTGGGACTCGCGGACCTCAAGCAGAGATATCCAGCAACAGCTTGGACGTCGTCCGTTTACCCCGAGAAGGCATCGCTCGGTATCGACGTTAACCCGCGATACTGGAGAGCCAACCTTGAGTCTCCCGTTAGATTCTCCGACGCGGTACTACGCATGGCTACCTCAGAGTCTAACCCTATTGACGTTCTCGTCGAAGTCGGCCCGCACCCTGCGCTTAAGGGTCCCGTATCTCAGATTCTAAAGAGCGTCGACGAAACCAAGCCTTACTTCTCAACTCTCAAGCGCAAAGAAGATGCCCAAGTTTCTATCCTAAATCTCGCAGGGACATTGTTCTGCCTAAATGCTCAGATCGACCTGGGCCTAGTTAATTCGGTGGATGAGATTGACGCCGAAGATGGGCTGACCCTCGTCCACGGTAGCACGGCCGTAGACTTACCGCCTTATAAATACGCATACGGGCCTATCCATTACTACGAGAGTCGATTCAGCCAAGAACTTAGGGCTCGCAACATTCAAAGCCACGACCTCGTCGGATCTAAGCTTCCAGGTAACGCCAAGCTCAGGCCTCAGTGGCGTAATATCTTACGTCTTAAGGACCTACCATGGCTCGGCGATCATAGGCTTCTGCCTCACCCGGTTTTCCCCGGCGCCGGCTACATTGCTATGGCCGTAGAAGTAGCTTCCCGAGCTTACAATGAATTGCCCGAGCCTTTCCCCATCACCGGATTTTCTCTGCGCAACGTCTCTATCAGCAATGCGCTACGCATTCCTGACGACGACTATGGAGTTGAGGTTCTCATCAGCTTGGAACTTGTCGATACTGCCACTGCAAAGGCTCCGGCCTGGACCAGCTTTTCCATTAGCTCCGTCGTCAAGGACTCGGATCAATGGACTAAGCACTGCTCCGGTCTCGTCAAGGTTGAGATAGGCGCGCCTACTCTGTCCAAGAAATTGTCTACCGAGATGGATGCTAGGGCCGTTAGCACTCGCGCCTGGTATAAGACGTTCAAGGAGATCGGCCTGGGCTATGGACCTGCATTCCAGGGCCTGCGCGAAATCCAAGCTGATCCTGCTCGGAAGTTAGCGGTGGCTAAGGTTGCTCTCGACACAACAGCAGGAACTATCAAGGGCGGCGAGTCGAGCTATCCACTACACCCGGCATCTCTAGACGCTATCTTCCAGCTTGGCCTCATCGCCTGCCACGGCGGACAGACAAACGTTGCTCACACTGCCTATGTGCCGACTCACATCGACAGGCTATACATCAAGAATGGCAACACGGAGACCTGGGGTACAGCTATCGCCGGTGGCGAGCTAAAGGGTTTGCGAGGAGCTTACGCCAACATGCAACTAGTAAACCAGTCTGGAGAGGTCGTTATGGACTTGCCTCAGCTTCGCTGCATCAGCTATACCGAGAAGCAGAGCTCTCAAGACTTAAATAAGGAGTTCAGTGCCCCCGTGATGCGCCTCTCTTGGAAGCCCGACGTCCGCAGCCTCAAGACGTCTCAAGCAGGAAAGCTGTTCCCCCCACCGCAGGAGAATGTTGACAAGTGTTACTTGTTTGACGTCTTCGACAGGCTCGCCACCCTAATGGTCGTAGACATATTTGAACGCTACGGCCACAAGGGAGAGCTAGCACACGCAGCCGAAAACCAGCGGGAATTCATGAAGTGGGTACGCAAGCGCGTGGACGACGACAATGACTACGTTAAAGAGGCTAAGCAGCTATCAAGCGACGAACGACAACAGCTTATCACCAAGCTAGTCGAAGAGAACCAGCACTGCTCTGACGTCCGGATTGCTAGGGAGATTTTTAATAATATTGACGACATCCTCTACGAACGCAGGTCCGGTCTCGACGTCGTTGTTCCTAACGGAATGCTCACATCCTTGTACGAGGAAGGTATCACTATGACTGGTGCATATCCGCAAGTCTTAAAGCTCTTCGATGCTCTAGGTCATATAGAGCCCAGCCTAAACATTCTCGAGGTCGGTGCCGGAACCGGCGGCGCTACGCGTATCATTATGAAAGCCCTCGCCAACGACAACGGCATCAAGCGCTACAAGGAATACACCTATACGGATGTGTCGAGCGGTTTCTTATCCGCTGCCCGGGAAGCTATGGCCAAGTACCGAGATATGAACTTCTCAGTCTTGAACATCGAGAACGACCCGCTAACTCAGGGATTCGAACCCGTATACGACGTGGTAATTGCTTCCGAATGTTTACACGCCACGGCTAGCATCTCTGAAACTCTTACCAACTGCCGCAGGCTCCTCAAGCCCGGCGGGAAGCTCATCGTGATCGAAAATACCAGGACAATCATCGGCCACGGTCTGGTGCTAGGAAACTTGACAGGTTACTGGAGCGGCATTCCGGACGGTCGCGTGGAGAGTCCCTTCTTGACTTTGGAGCAATGGAACTCTGCTCTCGTAGCTGCCGGCTTCTCGGGAACTGATCTCTCTTTGGATGATTACCCCGCCCCTTACACGACCGCTTCTACTATCATTGCCACCGCCGTCGAGACTAACGAGGCCAAAGCCACTCCCCAGGCCACCGAATCCAACGTGTACCTCTTATACTCCAACGAGAAGCCCGAGATACTAGGCCAACTTGCTGTTGAGTTAGAACGCCGCCAGATCAAATTCGAGATCCTTCCCATCAACCAGAGCACTTATTTACCGCTCAATTCCCGCGTCATCGTGTCTTTGGAGGATGACTTCTTGATGATCGACGCCAACGAGCATCACCTCCAGATGATCAAGAATATCGTCCGCAGTGCTTCCAGCACCGTCTCTCTCACAAGCACAGGTATCGTCAAGGGAACCAACCCAGACGCTGGCGTTGCGGCAGGTCTGCTGCGCACCATCGGAACGGAGAACCCGACGTCAAAGTTCTTGTTTGTCGACATCGACCCTGCCAGCGACGTCAAAGACCCTAACCTGGCGAAATCGATCATCGATCGGGAACTGGCCCTGCAGAGCAAGTCTACCGGCGAGAGTGAAGATCACGAGTTCGTGTGGCAGGATGGCTGCCTTTGGGTAAGCAGAGTTGTACCTGACACCGCCCTCGGGGAATTTTACGAAAAGTTAGAAATGCATCCTAGCCGCGCCGAAATGCTACCTTTTGGCCGCCATGGACCCGTTCGTGCCGCGTTCGAAACTCCCGGAATCTTGACTTCTCTATACTTCAAGCCTTACGAAGAGATGTGGAAGCCTCTCCCACAAGACTGGATTCAAGTCAAGGTTGCCGCCGTAGGTCTCAACTGGAAGGATCTCGCCATCTCGGCAGGTCGTTTCGACATGAACAACTTCTCTTCGGAATTCTCAGGCGTCGTCGACAAGGTTGGTGCCGATGTAGTTGACTTCCGCCCGGGCGACAAGGTATACGGTATGGGTAAGGGTCACTTTGGTAATTACGTACGCACGCCGGCCAGACTCGCACAGCGGATGCAAGAGGGAGACGATTTTGTCGACGTGGCTACGATGCCTCTAGTGTATATGACGGCAATTTACGCGTTCGAACACGCTACCAAGCTAAAGAAGAACGAGAAGGTTCTCATCCAATCCGCGACGGGTGGTTTGGGTCTCTGCGCCATCCAGCTCGCCCGGTCCAAAGGAGCCGAGATCTTTGCTACTGCTGGTACCGCCGACAAGGCCCGATACTTAACAGAGAAAGCAGGAATTCCGGCGTCTCACATATTCTCCTCGCGCGACCCTAAGGATATTCCCAGGCTCATCGAAGCTAGCGGGGGTAAGGGATTCGACGTAATCCTCGGTACTTCGACGGGAGATATGCTACACGAGTCGCTCAAGCTCGTAGCACCTCTTGGAAGATACGTGGATGTTGGCCGTGTCGACGTTCAGAACTCGATGACCATGGCTTTGGAGCTTTTCCAGAAGAGCGCCACCTTTTCGTCTTTCGACTTGGGTGTCGTCATGGACGCCAGCGCCGAGATGGGCCGCTTATTGATGGAGTCCGTCGATAAGCACTACCGCGCCGGACATATCGGACCGGTCAAGCCCGTTACCTCCTCGGACGTGTCCCAGCTGGATCAAGTGCTTCTGGGTTTCTCCAAGGGCACGCACATCGGTAAGCTGGTAGTTACCTTCCAAGATCCAGACGCGTTGGTCAAGATGGTCCCGCCGGTTCCACGAGCTCAGTTTGACTCCGAAGCTCGATATATCATCACAGGCGGTCTTGGAGGTCTCGGAAGAAGCATTGTTAGATGGATGGTCGAGCGCGGTGCTTGCGACTTCGTCATCTTATCTAGGAGCGGAACTCAGTCCAGCGAAGCCCAAGCTCTCGTAGCCGACCTAGATGCCCGGGGCATCAAGGTGAGCTCCGTGCGATGCGATGTCAGCAAAGCCGACGATGTCCGCCGCGTGTTCTTGAAATATTCTCAGGACAAGACCATAAAGGGAGTCGTACACGCAGCCGTTTCCTACCAGGATCTGTCGTTCGATAAGCTCAGCACGGAGCAGTGGACTTCCGGCCTCGCCGCCAAGGTTCACGGAACTCGCAACTTGCACGAAGCGACAAAATCCCTTCCTCTTGATTTCTTCGTCATGACCACGTCTTTAGAATCCGTCTTGGCCCTCGCTACCCAGAGCGCTTACACGGCCGCCAACAACTTCCAAGAGATGTTCGCCCGGTACCGTAGGAGCCAAGGCCTGCCGGCCTCCACAGCTTCTTTCGGTCTCATTACCGACGTCGGTTTCCTCAGCACGAGCACCACTACCCTCAACCTGATGGCCCGCAACAAGGCTCTCGGAGTGACGGAACACGAGTTCCTGAAATACCTCGAGATCGCGTTCCTCAACAATAAGATTGGCGAAGAGGCCGAGTCGTGGAGCGGGGTTCAGGAAGATCCTCTTTCCGGGTCCACCATAATTACCTGCCTCGATCCCCGCGAGATGGCCGAAAAGAAGTTGGAGGAGATGGCTGCTAACAATGGGAATATCGGCCCTACTCCTCGCTGGTACAGCGACGCGCGAGTAGCGCAGGTGATGCGAGCATTCGAAGACGCTCAGAGACATCACGACGACGACGGCGCGCAGAGTAAGAATAAGGGCCACGGTAACTCGGCTACCGCGGAACTCCGCCAGAGCTTCGAAGAGGCGATAGCCAAAGGTCCTGAGGAGCGCAACAAGACTCACGCGTTGGTAACGTCCGCCGTCGTAGCAACAGTGGCGCAGGTGTTATTTATCGACGTGTCTGGAGTAGACGCTAACCGCACGGTTGCCGACTACGGCGTGGACAGCCTGATCGCCGCAGAGCTGCGCAACTGGTTTAACACCGCATTCGGAGCAGACATCAGCATGCTCGACTTGCTGGATACCCGGACATCGATGAAGGACTTGGCGGGAATGATTGTGGATGGCGCTCTGGCTGCTTAATTGGAGCGGGTAGGGACGATGGCGCGCGAGGCCGAGAGCCACTATGAGATATTTGTATGAAATGATAGATTTTCTTATACTGTACCTAACTTATCCAAACGAGGGGTCGGAAACAGGAGTTTTAAAGTGCGATTTTCTAAATAGTTTGTGACGGATTTTATGTGTTCATCTATTGGGTTTTCGGGGGTCCGTAGGTTAGAGTTCACCCATAATCTTATCAATTATCCATTATATGCGATCCGGAGGCTAGGATGCCTTAGTTTTATTATTCCCGAGCTAAATATTAGGTACTGACATTTGAGACACAAGTACCAGCCACCATGAGTAAGTTTTCGGATAGAATGGCAAATACACTCTGTATAACTAGGAGGAGCCATCTATGATTTCGTTTGCGCTTCTCGATCGAGGCCCCAGTCATCATATAACCACACGCAGTCCATCGGCTGGAATATCATCAACGTGCCCAAAGGAGCACCGATGAATTACACGAGACTTTGAAGAACCGGGATAGCACTGGCGATAATGTAAGCGGTAATGGTTACGCGGAAGATACAGCGAGCGAAGTTCCCTAGTGCACAAAGGTATTCACCGTTAAGTGTGTTGTACCTCGTAGACAGTGCACAAAAAGGTACTTGGCAGTAAGATGGTAAAAAAAAAAAAAAAAAAAAAAAAAAAAAAATCAATACAGAAACTGGGGACGCCGGGGATGCTAGAGAGACTTACATGAATTGTGAGCATCGCTGTTGCCACGATTCCGGGGATGGCAATGCCATATGATATTTTCTTGATGAGCGGGCCAGCCGATCCAAGCGCTGGAGAGGCTACATGATGCACAGAAATAATAGACCATGCGACCGATCACGATGTATGCGAAAGTAACGGTGAGCTGGGGGGCAGTAAGAGCCCGGGCGTAGTGCTTGGGTCCCCTCATATCGTCAGCGAAGGAGAAGAAGCTGGGCTGCCGGCATATCTGATTGATTGAGGTCATCGCCACTTATGATATACGCAGCTCCCCTCCTGGTTCAGGTTCATGTTCTATTCCTACTGGGTTTCAGCCGCCAATTCTTTAAATAGTAAGAGGTAATTCTACCATTAGCTATAATTAGTTAAACCCCTATCTCTATCAACTTTTGCTTAAGCCACTACAGAATGCTCACGAACTTCTGCCGCCTAATTAACTTAGCTTAGATCATTTTAAACAGCTGCCTAAGCCACGTTCTGGCGTACCAAGAGTGCTCGTTAAGTGCAGCCCACAAAACACAGTAGTAGGCCCGCTCGCCTTATACTACCCTCCAAAAACCTTACACCCCTAAAAGGTTCTAAGCCAACCCGCCGATTTCCCCGGTTCTGGGCCGGCTTACCCTGCAGGACGTCGCGGGCCCTTTCCGAGGTACGGCGCGGGAGGGCTTAGGTACCCTCCTTCAGGTACCTACCGGGTAGATTCCGGTGCCGAACACCCGTCCGAGGCTTCCCGGGCGCGGAAACATTTCCTAATAAATTTGGTAGCTAGTTACCCGGGAGACTTAATTACTTACCGGGTAATAACTTTTTGTAACTACTTATCTAATAAGCTTTTAACTTAATTACTTTTAAGTTAATTATTTTTTACAACATTTACCCGGGAATGTATTAATTAAATTATTTTTAAGGTAATTATTTTTCGGAACTATTTATTTAATAAACTTTTAATTTAATTATTTATAAGTGTTATAAATTAATAAACCGAGAAGTTATTCCGTAATAAAAAGCGGGGTGTTACGAACTAATAACGCGGGAACTATACCTTGTATAAAAGCGAGGTTCTTAAAACGTACGATCAAACGGATAAACCTTAAATAATCTAATAAAAAGTAATAATCTTATTAATTTTATTAATCTTATTAATCTTAATAAAATCAATTAAATTACCGAAATTATTAAAATTATAATACCTTTAAATAAGAAATAGGAAAGCTTATAAAATATATAATATTATTATATATTTAATCATTTATTTATATTTCTTTAATTATTAATTTAAACTTTATATTTAAATAAAGGAAAGGATTTTAAACTTTTTTAATAAACGTTTTTAATGATATTTTAATATTTAACTTATATTACTATTATTTATTTAAAATTAAGCTTTAATTATTACATTTTTACAAACTTAAATATAAATTTATCATATTTTAATAACTTTTTAATTAATAACGTTACTAATTAAATATGGTATAAGCATTAACCTTAACAAATATATTTTTTTACTTATAAAGATTATTTATAACTTATTTATTTTAAAATATTTTTTAAACGAGTTTTTTAAAAATTAATTATTAATTAAAATTAATTAAGCAAAAAAACGTAATTAATTTAATATATTATTTTTTAATTATGTTTTAAAATTAATTAATAATATGGTTTTAATAGAAATTAAGTCTTAAATAAGATTATTAAAACTTAAGGAAAAAGTAAAAAAAATTATTAAGTTTATTAATAAAGGAAAAAGAAAAGTAATTAAAAATAAAAACGATAATAAGGGTAACGATTTAAATAATATACTATAATTAAAAAAAGATATAAAGAAGGTATATTATATATATAAAAGATTTAAAAATAAGCTAATAGATTTACATAATAAGTTAGCTAAAGTTAAAAAAGAAAAAGATAGCAATAATAACGAGCTTAATTCACGTTTAATACAATAGGACCTAACCGTTCCTTTACTTTCGTGTGACGAACCTGCACTTAGGTACGTTAGAGTGTAGTAACAGGGGTCTTGATTTTAGGTAAACAGTAGCGATACGAATTAAGTGTTAATAAAATGTTAAAAGTGTTCGTCAAAAAGGCTTAAAGTCCTTCCCCTTATATGGATTAAATATAAGATTTAGATTAATAGCTAAGGAAATGTGAATAAGTGTTTAAATATATAATAGTTTTAAATATTTTATGGACCTTTCTTATCCTTCGTTCTTTGAGGTTATTATAATCTTAGTGATTTTAGTGATTTTATTAATCTTGTTAAGATTAACTAGATTAACCAGATTAATTAGATTATTACCTTTTATTAGGTTATCCGAGGTATAACCGCGAGATCGTACGTTTTAAGAACCCCGCTTCTTTATAAGGTATGGTTCCCGTGCTGTTAGTTCGTAACAATATTTTAAATTTTAAAAATTTTTATTAATTTTATTATTAATATATATTATTTTTTTTAAAATTGCAAAAAGGTAAAAAACTAATAACATATTAATATATTAAAAAACTATTAAAAATAAAACTTAATTTATTAATAATTATATAAAAGAAAATTTACTTTATTTTTAAAAATTATATATATATATAAAAATAACTTTAATAAAATAATAATTATAAATATATTTATAAAATATATTAAATATTTATTAATATTAAATTAAAACTTTATGTTTATATTTTAGGGTTAGGGTTAGGGTTAGGGTTAGGGTTAGGGTTAGGGTTAGGGTTAGGGTTAGGGTTAGGGTTAGGGTTAGGGTTAGGGTTAGGGTTAGG